TGTTAAAGCTACAAAAGTGATTTTTCTTTGTGTTTTGTTGTTTGATTAATGTTCATGAACAGAGAAAGCAACAAGAACTTTAAACTGCTGTGAACCACTATACTGTTAAACATCCATTTTCTTTCTCAATTTTTTCCCTTCACCTAAGTCATAAGCAACTGTGTTTACAAAGATACTTGCAGAGCACAGTATTTCAGGCACAAATAGATGCAGAAGTGAACAAATCAGTGTTCACGTGCATCTGAGTGGCTCTCACCGTGTCTACAACTGATGCTCGTTCTCTTTATGACATACTGACAGTTCAAATGATATGCAACGGTCGATTTGTCGCGTCCAGTGTAGACAGACTTTGGGGCCGTTCACATGTCGCGTGGAAAACGACAGCCATGCCGCTTTCTCCTTCTTTCCAAAGCCCTCAGGTTGTTAAGCGACCGTGACCTGCGCTCTCTACGACGACGCGGAAGTTTCAACAAAGGATAAATGGATTTCCAGCACTGAAAATCCCTTGCAGTAGCTCTGCTACTAAATTTATTTAAAATGGGTATCTCTGTACAGCTGTCGCGTCCGGTGTAGACACCGTGTCTGTGTGTGAGCAAAGAAAACAATCAGAATAAATATAATGATCAGTATACTAAACATCGCACATCCTGCGATGTGACTATCGCGGATGCGCACATCGCGATATCGATGCTGAAACGATATATCGTGCAGCCCTAGTTGTGAGACTTAAATCATCATGACAATGTGTATTTAATGATTCATAGTGAATCATTAATCATTCATTAAAATCATTAAATTAAATTATTTAAATAAATAATTGTTTTTATTCAGCAAGGATGGATCAAAGAAATGTTTCTTGAGCAGCAAATCAGCATATTAGAATAGTTTTTAATGGATCATGTGACACTGGAGACTGGAGTAATGGCATTTAAATATATACATTTTAAAATGTATTAAAATAGAAAACAGACATTTTAAATTGCAATAATATTTCACTTGTAAATATAATTTTTTAAATATTTATACTATATTTTGAGCAAATAAATGTACACTAAAAATAACATCATAACAGCATATGTTTTCCATTTTTCATTATTTAATACAAGATTCAACAAATTTTAAGTCAGTTTAATATCATTGAATTAACTTGTACAGCCGGTTTGATTATACTTTTAAGGCAGCAACTGAACTTATGTATTTAAATTGAAGTAGGTGGAATTTTTTTCAGTGTAGCCTTGGTGAACAAGAGATTTTCAAAAAAGTCAAGTAGAAGGTATGTACTTACATGTCATATCTGGAAATGCACCAGTTCTTTACACATAAAAGAGAGCGTTCGATAATTGACTAAGCTCACTGTCGCATAGCTACATACTGTAGACAATACAATAAAACACAAGTAGCGCTGTAGTGTTTAAAATATTTATACTATATTTTGAGCAAATAAATGTACACTAAAAATAACATCATAACAGCATATGTTTTCCATTTTTCATTATTTAATACAAGATTCAACTAATTTTAAGTCAGTTTAATATCATTGAATTAACTTGTACAGCCGGTTTGATTATACTTTTAAGGCAGCAACTGAACTTATGTATTTAAATTGAAGTAGGTGGAATTTTTTTCAGTGTAGCCTTGGTGAACAAGAGATTTTCAAAAAAGTCAAGTAGAAGGTATGTACTTACATGTCATATCTGGAAATGCACCAGTTCTTTACACATAAAAGAGAGCGTTCGATAATTGACTAAGCTCACTGTCGCATAGCTACATACTGTAGACAATACAATAAAACACAAGTAGCGCTGTAGTGTTTTGTCGTGCTACAGCGCTTGTAAAAGCTACACTTTGCTGAGCTACTGTCAGACATTTATGCCTTGTCATTGTATGCAATATCGGAACCACAAAAAGCAGATATGAATAGCCGAGACAGATGCTTCAGAGAGAAATGACTCCCACACAAGGCCGATAGCAGAGGTTTTACACTGGCTTGAATGTCTCTATAGAGCAGGAGCTGGACGTGCTCTGCAGGAGTCATTAGGACACTGAAGCTCGCCGTGATAACTGGTTTGGGTGTGTTAAACAGCCACGATTCCTTTGCTGTCATTCACAGAGAGTTCATTATGCAGGAGCATATCTCGCTCGTGTGTTAATTATGAAACTAAGTCTGGCAGCTCCATCCTGCTCGGAGTTGGATTTTTTTCTTTGGTGTTTTATCATTACACACACACATTACATAGTTATAAGCCTCCACATCTTGAACATTTTTCAACACCTCTTCTGACGTGATGCATACGTGATGAATTATCATTACAGGAAACAAACATTTCTCACTTTTTTCTCTCTCTCTCTCTCGCTCTTTCTCTCAGACGTGGAGTCCACATCAGTCTTTTTTTTGCTCTCACAGTAGGTGGCTCGTGTTTCTAAAGTATGTGAGTTTTATTCAGTTGTGTATTTCAATGTCTTTTACAGGTGGCTTTGTGCTAATTTTCCTCTCTTTTTCGAAACAGCTTTGTGAATTGTTGATAATTGGGGTTTATGTTTGCCAGAAAAGAAAACCACCTTTCACGAAGTGTTTTTGCCAATTGATATGAACTACACCACAATTCAAAAGTTTAGGTTCGGTTCTTTTAAGAAGTCTCTTATGCTCACCAAGGTTGCGTTTATTTGATAAAAAATACAGTAAAATTATAAAATATATAATTACAATTTAAAATAACTATATATTTTAATTTATTTCTGTTATACTCTTGTCTGTCCAAAAAAAAATGTTTTTTTCTTTGCTTAATATTTTTATGGAATAATTCATTTCAGGTTTCTAGAAATGTCTTTGCTGTTACTGTTGACACGTTGAATGTGTTCTTCCTGAACAAAAATATAAATTTCGTTATATATTTCTTCATACATATATGTATTATATTAGTTACAGTTTATTTACAATGTATTTTAGAGCTACAATATTAGTGCAAGCTTATTTCGACTCTTTGAAACAGTCGGTTCACTTCGCACATCTATTTCAATAAATCTATTCATCCCCACTTATGCAAAATGATTGTTTGAAGTGCTACATGTGTTTGGGATGTAGTGATGTTGTGTTTTTGTTGCTGTGTAGTGCTTCAGGAGGAACAGTATTTAGGAGATATGGTTTAGCAAATGTACTAAAATCTAAGGTTGAAAGGCCTTAGGTCATTCAGATGTGACACATTCAACTTTTTTTAACCATTGTGGTTTTCATAAAAAAATTATTGATTAATGAAATGAATTTATTGTGTTTGATTAGATAATCTTGACAACTTTACTGATACCAAATAAGAAGTGATTTTTTATCAAGTGTTTAATGAAAGCATCAGTAGTGTTTTTCTTGAGACACAATGCCAAATGTAATTCAGTGTAATTCCTCAGTCTTCAATATTGATGTTTCTGGAAAAACCCTTAATTGATAAACACCAGCTTTTCACAATAAGCTTTTATATTTATTTCAAATCCTGTTAAAGACACAATCAGCATGTTCTAATGTCCCTGACCTTCCCCTACCAGACTGCCTTTGTTCCTCTGAAAGATACCTAAAAGGAAGTTAGTGAAATGCAGCAGTCACATGTGTCATGTACCCTTCAACAGTCTGCCACTGTACTGCTACGTGCAAACCCACAAACAATGAAGTGTTAGCTGTGAGTTTTTAAATCCTAAATTCGAAAAATCCCCCAGTGCAAACTATGATATGCGATGTGCGCACTTTGCAGCAGGAAAAGTCCTTTTGAGTGATAGTGCTAATTGTATGTAGTGTGTTAAATGCCAAGGTATTTAGTACAGTGTTGACACTGAGGGAGTTTCTTGCCAAGGCTGTGTGTATGAATAAGAAAGATAGTTTAATGAGTTTCTATCCAGAACATTTAACATTTGAATCAAACTTGATACACAATTTCAAAAACACATCTGTATGTGCACATCGACGAACAATTATAAAATAGCCAAGACTAAATCCAAGAATACACAGCTCTTCAATAGACAGGCTAAATATGTACATTTTTTATTGCATGATTATCATAGACCTGCAGATTATGCAAAAGAGCAGAATCATTGCTCACAGCAGGCGATTCTAAGTCACTATAATTGCCTTGGAATTTATTGTTATGATTGATGCAACTTCTCAGAGAGAGTTTACCACACTGGAAGTCTAAACACACACTAAAACACAACACACTGTTGGCATGTTAAAATCCTTTCTGAGAAGAAGCATCTCTGAAGAAATATTAAAGCTAAAGTAAAAATTTGGAATGAATCAATGAACAAACAAACAAACTAGTCCTTCATCTCTACCCCAGTTTTGGCCCTTCCTACTGAAAACCAGTGGCGGCTCGTCGGGGGAGGCACCAGATCTTTCAGGTTTTGGGGCTGTCGCTGGGCAACATGGAGTTTCAGCTCCCTCCATAAAACAGCATTGTAATCATGTGATCTTGTGATATGATCCCTCAGTGTGCATGATGCATATTTAACCTGAACTGACAAGCAAACCAATTGAAAAAGACGTGAATCGCATCACACATGGATCATATGCACACTTCAGTCAGACAAAAATAGAGTTGTTTCCGATGTCTTTAGTACCTCTGCCCAGAGCGCTTGGCCGCTGCATGCACGCTGTTATTCAATGCGGCGTGGATGTGCGCTCCTGCGGTTTGCACGCATGTTAGTTGAGCTGAAATCTGATAAAGCGCAGCTCGTTCGATTTTTATGACCCATTCGTATTGTAATGCCATTAGCCTTGTAATTCATTTATCTGGCTGCTGTTTGGGATGGACTAATCTAATATGCATAATTCAATGTCATACTGAAGTCAAGACCTGCATGAATGTGCAAATGGACTCTTGACTGTAGTTAGCGTAGACGCCATATTTAATTTTTCACAAATGAAAGAAAATGTGGTTGTGAGGGACAGATGTGCAGTCTATTCAATAGGTTGTCATAGTTTATTTTGTCTGAGAACCTTTTCTTGTTTTTTTGTAAAAATATATATACAATATATATATTTTATAGCGAGAGAGAGAAAGATTAATTTGCAATTCATTAATAAAAAGGGATCATTAGGCATGCAGTTTAGATAATGTTTATATCTGTATGTCTCTAAATGTCTGTCTGTCTGTCATTCTATTATTCTTTCCGCCTGTCTGTCATTCAAACTATCGTGCTTTCCATCTGTCCTTCTATCTATTGCTCTTTCCATTTGTCTGTTGTTCTTTTGTTCTTTCTGTCTTTCTCCATCAGCCTGTCTATCTGTCTTTCATTCTTTCCATCTGTCTTTCTTTCATCTGTCTGTCCGTCTGTGTTTGTCTGTTGTTCTATCTATTGCTCTTTCAATTTGTCTGTTGTTCTATCGTTCTTTCTGTCTGTCATTCTTTCTGTCTGTCACTTTCTGTCTGTCTCTCCAGCTGTCTGTCTTTCTTTAGTCTGTCTGTCTTTCTTTCTATCTATCTGTCTGTTCTTTCTGCCTATCTGTCTGTCATTCTATCTATTGCTCTTCTGTCATTCTGTCGTTTTCTTTCTGTCTTTCAATCTTTCTGTCTCTGTCTGTCTTTCCATCTGTCAGTCTTTCTATTGTTCTTTCTGTCTGTCTGTCTGTCTGTGTTTGTCTGTCATTCTATCTATTGTTCTTTCCATCTGTCTGTTGATTTGTTGTTCTTTCTGTTTGTCTGCTTGTCTGTCGTTTATTCTGTCTGTCCCTCTGTCTGTCTGTCTTTCCATCTTCCTTTCATCTGTTTCTCTGTCTGTCTGTGTTTGTCTGTCATTCTATCTATTGTTCTTCCAATCTGTCTGTTGATTTGTCGTTCTTTCTGCCTGTCTGCCATTTATCCTGTTCGTCCTTCTGTCTGTCTGTCTTTCTATCTTCCTTTCATCTGTCTGTCTGTGTTTGTCTGCTGTTCTATCTGTTGTTCTTTCTGTCTGTCTGTTGTCTATCTGTTGCTTTTTCCATCTGTCTTTCTGTTGCTCTTTCCATCTGTCTGTCATTCTATCTTTCTGTCTGTCCATTGCTCTATCTGTCGTTCTTTCTGTTGTTCTGTCTATCATTCTTTCTATCTGTTGTTCTTCCTGTTATTTCTGTCTGTCTTTCTGTTGTTCTTTCTGTCATTATATCTATCGTTCAATCTTCTCAAGCATTACATCTGTTGTTCTTTCTTTCTTTCTCTTTCTTTCTTTCTTTTTTTTCTTTCTTTCATTATTTCCATCTGTCTGCCTATCTGTCTGTTGTTCTGTCTATTGTGTTTTTCTGTCACTCTATCTGTTTTTTTGTTTATATTTGATATAAAAAGTGCATGAGAGGAGATATAGGCGCTATCACAGATATCATAATCTCAACTGACGTTTTCTCTTTTCTCTATTGTGCTAGTTTGTGTCTGAAATAGGAGAACTTTACTGAAACATTTTGAACGGGAGATAACGGAGGTGGAGGCGTAGAGAGAAAGATGGAGGGACTGTGAATAGGAAGAAGGAGATGCTGTAGGGGTTTAATTTGCTTTTCTCTAACAGACGGCAACAGCCAAAGAAAGTTAATTACCCTCCCGTCTCACATCTCGACATGCATGTGTGATGCAACCAGGGGTGTGAGCGAGTTTCTGTGCCCATCTGTTTTCCTGCCAGCCAGAGCTGTTAAGAGGCTCTCAGCTTTAGCATGCGACTGTTCTTGCTTTTTCACTCGCTCTCTTCCTGTGTCCCGTTCTTTCCTCCACATGTCTGTCTGTTTCTCTCATGTTTCATGTAGTGGATTTGTTTGTGTGACCGAAGGCTAACTCATATTCCTGTTTGTGTGTGGTGTGTTGAACAGGAATCCTCCCCCCTCTGTATGTGACACACAGGTGGTGTGCCTGTCCATATGTCTCAGTATCAGATAACAGCATGAATATTGCATGACGTGAAAACACGGTAAGAATCCCTTGCAGGATGTATAACAGGAAGTGAAACTCAGAAACTTAAAAGAACAATCACAGTCCCGCTCTGGTATTTGCTGAGTGTGTTGTATGTGTGTATACCTTGCAGGTGCAATGCTTGCATTGAGCAAGTAATGTTATACTCTTTAGCCCTAATCGAATAATTGTTTTACATAGGGACATACTGTCATGTCAGCGTTTACAGGTGCTAGAGATTTTATTACTGTCTGAATCGATAATGTGTGTGAAAGTCCTTTGACTATTTTAACAATGTTCTTACTACCTTTGTGGGCCTTGAACATGTCAGTTGCGTTGCTGTCTTTGCAGAGTCAGAAAGCTCTCAGATTTCATCAAAATATCTTAATTTGTGTTTCGAAGATGAACGAAGGTCTTACGGGTTTGGAACGACATGAGGTTGAGTGATTAATGACAGAATTTTCATTTTTGGGTGAACTATCCCTTTAAGAAATTGACCTGAAAGTTTGTTTA